TTGCTTTCGTTATCATTTTAGTCTTGAGTGGTATTACCGTAGTTTTTGTTATTTTGAGAGAAATATATTGATTTTTTTTTATCATATCTAATATTTGATTTAAAAATCAAATATTAGATATGATAGAATGTTTTAAATAATGATATTTTATTATTTTATTTTTAAAATATCAATGGTATAAATAAAATTTTATAATATGGAGTTTTATTATTTAAGAAGTTTTATTTTTCTAAAACTTTGTTTTTTAAAATTTCTTCTAATTTTTTTTTCTAAAAATACTAATTCTTTATCCATCTATGGGAAGATCACCAGATAATTTCTTGAGGCAAAATATTTATTTCTAGTTGGTTGATTTTATCTATAGAGTAAGTTGATTTCTATTATTTTTCTTTAAAGTTTAGTGTTTTTTCTTGTGGAGGTTTTCTTCACTCTTTTGAGGTATGAGTGTTCTTTAAGACTCTTTATTGATTAGCGGTACTAAAGGTATACTTTTATCGAATTGTCATGAAATGTAGGAGCAAGTAGAGATCTTGGAGCCGTAGGAGGATTTTTAGAGTTTTTAGCACCATCGGAGCGTCAACCAAGTAAGAGAAACTAGTTTGTTTGGTTTGGATTTGGTGTGCATGTGATATTTTATATTTTTATGACGATGTGATGATTTATTTGTGAACTTTAATTAAATCGTGAAATTTTGTAGGTTGGGTGCTTGAAAATGGAGGTGTGTTGAATTGAAAATTTATGCATGTTGTTGTGTAGTTGGTTTGTTGATGTGAATGATATGTTTATCGATGAACTTGTGAATGTAGATTTAGTGAATCGGAGCAAATGTGTTCTTACAAAACTTTGGTTTGGGATAAATTAGAAGAATGGTGAGTTTTTTGCACAAAATTGAGGTTTTGACAAGTAAAATTCTAAGATCATGGTTTTGGGGAAAATTTATAGTTTTGGGAAATGTATTAGAGTCATTTAGGGTTTAGTTGGTCTCTTATTATACTAAAACTATGGTAGATTGTCTAGTAAGGAGTCGTTTCGGAAGGAGTCGTTTAGGAAGGAGTCGTTTGGGAAAGAGACGTTTGGGAAGGAATCGTTTAGGAAGGAGTCGTTGGGAAATAGACGTTTGGGAAGGAGTCGTTTGGTGAGGAGTCGTTTGGTGAGGATTCGTCTAGGAAGGAGTTGTTTGGTGAGGAATTGTCTAGTAAGAACTAAGTTGTGGGGAATCTTGAATTTGGGGTTCTAAACATTTGTTTTGAACGTTCTTTAGGTCGTTTTGAACCCTTTTGGAGCTGTTGATGAGAGTTTCCAAGTCGTTTTCGATGCTTAACATGTGTTTCGAGTTGACGTGAAGAAAATTGTGTTATTGTGTGATTTGGTTTATGGTGCATATATTTTAATAATTGTTGATGATTTGAAATATTGGTATTGTGAGAAGAATCCCAAGGAGAGATTCTATGTTAATGAGAGTTGTGGCGAATGCTTAATAGTGAGACTTTGAAGAGAAGATGTCCTGATATTCTACCAACCATTCAACTCATGTTGAATGAATGCAATGCATAAATTTTTTACATTGATAATGTATCATATGATATAAATAAACACTTACAGTTACAGAAAGTTTTACGACCAATAAAAAAATGTTATAATAAAATGAATATTTCTAAATTTCATGGTTTTGTATATTTCTATTAAATAAAAGATTTTGATAAAATTGAAGTATAATGAATAAATATAAAAATTAAACTTAAGATAAAGATTTGATCGAGAAGATTAAATTGTACAAATTTAAATTTAAAAGCAAAGTTCATCATTTACTTAAATATCTTTTTGAATTTATATAATTTAAACGTCTTTTTTTGGATAATATGTATTTCATACATTTAAACATTTCTGTTATATATTTCATTCAAATTTTAGGCTATTAATCATGAGACGACATTTACAAAAATATTTAAAGAGCTCTTAAAATGCAATTCAACACTCTTTCTTGTATTATGTATTTAATTTAAATTAGTGTTTGTTAGTAGTTGATAAATACGTTAAATTTATGATTTTATAAAATCAAATTAAAAAATAATATAAAATTGAAATTTAAACAAAAAATTTAATCTTATATTTATATATTCATTTTAGTTCTTATATTTATTATTTTGTTCAGTAAAATAAATTTAATATTTATTTAATAAAATCAATATGATTCATTTGTTAAAATAGTAAGGTGTGTATCTATCAATTTAATAAAATGCTTAATTAATAATTTAGCCCTTATGAAAAAAAATCACATTATCTTTATTTAAATAATATAAAAACTTAATTAAATTTAAGACAAATATATGGACAACAATAATTCATAATTTTATATGAAATCCCAAATTACTTATTAAAACTTTTATTAGATCCAAATGATGTTAAAGTTAAATATTTGAACTGAAATCAAAACAAATATAAGAAGCAACATGAATAAAAAACTTATATATAAAAACGATTAATTAAGCCAAACCAAAACTATGAACTTCTTAAAATAAAGAATCTAACCTTAAAATATTACTATTTAATCTAATTTGTTAGTAACATATTTGAAAATGTAACCCCTGCATCAATATATTTCTTGAATATTTTTGGATAAAAATAAAAATATTTTAAAAATGATACATTGGACCCAAACCGTGCCAGTATCCACTGGGCCTATAAAAAGGCCCAACGTTTACCTTGGGTATATATCCCCTAATATCTTTTCCTTTTTCCCCTCTTCACTCTCAGTTTCAGTCTCGCTTTCTGAGAAGAGCGCCAAATTAGGGTTAGGTTAGGGTTTAACCATTCCTACACTCAATCGTCAATCTCTTCCAAATTCCAATCCCAATCGCAATGGATCCGACTAAGAAGCGCAAGCTTGATGAGAATGGTTTCGGTGATTCCGACCCGCTTAAACTCTCTTCCACCGAGGCGCGCAAACTCATCGAGCGCTTCACCCCGGAGCAGCTTCTCGACATCCTTCAGGACGCGGTGGCTCGCCACGCTGACGTGCTTGCCTCCGTGCGTGCTGTCGCGGACCCCGATGTGTCGCAGCGGAAACTATTCGTGCGCGGCCTTGGGTGGGACACCACCACAGACGGCCTCCGCTCACTCTTCTCCACCTACGGTGAGCTTGAGGAGGCTGTTGTGATCGTTGACAAGGTAACCGGAAAGTCCAAGGGCTACGGCTTTGTCACCTTCCGCCACGTGGACGGTGCTCTCCTCGCCCTCCGCGAACCAAGCAAGCGCATTGACGGGCGCGTGACCGTCACGCAGCTCGCTGCAGCGGGGAACTCCGCTTCGAATGCCAACGCAGCCGATGTTGGGCTCAGGAAGATCTACGTTGCCAACGTGCCGCCTGACCTTCCAGCGGACAAGCTCCTTGCGCATTTTTCTGTGTATGGTGAGATCGAAGAGGGACCCTTAGGGTTTGATAAACAAACTGGAAAATCAAAGGGGTTTGCGCTTTTTGTTTATAAGACTCCTGAAGGGGCTCAAGCTGCGTTATTAGATCCTGTCAAGACTGTGGAAGGAAGGCAATTGAGTTGTAAACTGGCGATAACGGATGGTAAGCAAGGGAAGCGAGCCGGACCAGATTCGGGTCAGGCCCATGGGAATGTTCAGCACGGTCATGGGGATGGAGTCGGGGCTGGAATGGGGATGCCTCCTGCAGCGGGGTCTGGGCCGGGGCAGTATGGCGGCCCGCAATATGGGGGACCGGTTGGGTTGGGTTCGTATGGTGGGTTTGGTGGACAACCTCCGTTAGGTAACCATAATCATCCTCTGAATTCATCCAATCCCGTACCCGGTTCTATGGCGGGTGCTGGTGGTTATGGTGCTGGGATGGGTGGGCCTTATGGTGGATACGGTGGGCCGGGCTCTGCGGGATTTGGTGCTGCGGGTGGGTTAGGAGGGGCTGGTGGAGGTGCTGGTGTTGGTGGTGGGCTTGGAGGAGCAAGTGGTGGTGCTGGTTCTTTGTATAGATTGCCTGGTTCTGGTGGCATGCCTGCAGGTGGTGGAGGGTATCCGGAGGGTGGTCATTATGGTTTATCAGGTTCGGCTGGATACCAGAACCAGCATCATCCTCCTTCTGGTGCTTCTCCAGTGCCTAGAGTTCCACCTGGTTCGATGTACCCCAGTGTGCCTCCTTACTACTAAAGAGGTAATATTGGTTGTTTTTGTTTCTGAAATTCTTTGAAGGTTGTGTGGTGGAAGTGCAATTAGTTCATATGTTTTCTTTTCCGTTATATATCTGTGTGGACTGCTTGGCTGTTTGTGTGATTCCGTTCTGTGTGTATGTGTATGTTTCGATTACTGTTTGTTTTTTGCCTTGTTTTATTTATTTTTTATTGTCTATTATATATAAATTTTAGACTGAAAAATACTTAATGACTTGCGTTGTTTGGGATCATGTAGCAGATTTGTGGTTTTGGAACCCAAACAATGAATAATGTGATTCTCTTATGCAATTAGTAGCTTATTAAATCCTATATTGATTATAGTGAGCTTGTGATTAAATGTACTTTTTATTGTTTTTTATGATGTCTTGATGACTATGTTATTGAAAGTTTATCTGGTACTGATATTTTTCTTAATTAATGTTCTAAATAACTTTCATCTGTGGCCTGTTATTAAAGTTTGGTCGTTTTGCTGAAACTCATCTTGTTTGTAGTTTTTTTTGTGTATTCTTTTGTTTGTCTTCCTCTGCTTCCCGATTAATTTTATCTTGTTGCATATGTTTTGTATTTGTGTTTTCACTTTTGTACATAATTTCATGGTGGCTGTGTCTGTTAATTGATCTTTCAAACTATGTTGTTGGTTACATATACATGGTACCCAGAGATGGGCTGTTTGTTCATGTGGTTCCTAAGAAAGGGTGAGCAATGATTTGTTTATTTTTCCTGTCTTGTTTTTACAATATAATAATGTACTTTGGATGATGGTTGTGAAATGATGAATTGAGTTGAATGGATGTTTGATTCAGGTGTATCATCGCTTATTGGGTGCAGATGCTTTGTGCCTCTGGTGATTGCGTGAATTGCAGACTATGTACTCTGGTGTAATGAATGTGTTAGCCTTTACTTTTACAGCCTCTTGACTTCATCTGCTGCCCTTTTAAGCCTTGATTCATATGAATGTTATTAGTTAAAACCCCTGTTGAGATAGACTAGTTTTGTACTTTTAGAAGGATTATCTGGGCTGTTACAGCCTGTTTTAATCGTATGGATCTGGATTTAATAGCTGAGTTTGTACTTAGTCACATTTTCTTGTGGTTAGTTTTAACAAAAGTTGCTCAATGCTGTGGTTGTTTCGTTTTATTTATGTTTATCAATATTTTCTAATGCAATGTTTTAGTCATGCTGATTTGATGATGATATTCTAATAATTTACTTTATACAGTGTTGGTCAATGTTGGTCAGGTTCTAACAGTGGGTTTATTATACTGTATATTTGATGCGTAATAATTATCATTGTAAAATCCAAGTCATGTTGTTACTATATTGGCGTCTACAAGTTGCAGTGGTAAATCAATTTTCTCATCCAATAAGCATTCTAACTTATATAGGATTTCTTTCTTACACTGGGGATTCCCAACATTTTCTATATATGTTCTGGTAATTTGTGACGTTGACTTGTTTACTCTTTAGCACTATGCTTGGGATATTCATGTGCCTATGCGAAAATAATTCTGACAATGGGAATTGGATATGTTCTCAGAAGAATGTGTGTTTCATTTTGTCGAAATGACACGTACTATATCGCTTGTTTGGTAAACTAATTCGTAAACTAATTAGGTTTGATTTATTTATTTTAACAAGTTATAACTCACGAGATTATGTGTTATTTGGAATACACTAATGTTTACCTTAAGGGTTCGTTAAATAATTTTTTTTGCCAAAATTTGGCCTTAAGTAAATTTAGGGATTGACATCCCCTCTCAATATTCCCATCTTGGTTTCTCAAATTTATCAGCTTGTAAAATGTAAGCTGCAAGTTTATTAATTTCTTATATTCTTATATTCTTATATAGACATTTTCATAACAGTATATTAATATTTTAAATCGATCATCGATAATAAAATCTTATCCCAACAGGTAAAGTCATTTTGACCGATCTGATGGCATTATTGGACTTGGTTAAAAGCCATATTTTTATTGATGTTAATGTTCTTGTTCTTCTTTTACCTCCATTTTTACTTTGCTGAAAACCTTGCCATCTAATATTATGTCACCCCCACTGGCATCTTTACGTGGCTAACAGCCTTATTTTTCTTATATCTTTTCCTCAATAGGAGCTGAACCAATATCTCCTTGCATATAGTAATTTTATGGTCGCACAACTTATCTTATCATGCTTATTTTTTATATTACCATTTTAATTGCGAGTCCTTTAAAGGTTAAAATCAATTACCATATAGATTTATCTGGTTTTATGGCAGTATGGAAAACCTGTTCCTTGAGCTTGGTAGGTATTTTGTGGTCATAGGTGACCTCGAATATTTTTCCCCATTTTAGCACTCAGGATGTATGCTGAGTGACATTTTCATTTTGTTTCATCTTTAGTATTGATTATACCTGAAATTTCTTGTATTATATTGACTCCAATTTTATCATTATTGGTATGATAAGCTTTAAATATTTTGTATTCTTTAGTAAAATTATTTGATAATTTATGTTAACTTAGGTATGCTTTGTTATTTTTTTTTAAATTACTACATTTTGTATGTTTTACATTGTTAATGTAGTCGTACTTTTTAATTTTAACATTTGTATGATAATGCATTTAATATTTTAGCATTGTTGATGTAGCTATACATTTTCATTTCTTAATACAGTCTGTCAGTTATCAAATCACGTATAGCTTTTTCCTAATACAGTCTGTCAGTTCATAAATCTCAATAATGTCTATTTCTATGTTTACTTAAGTTCGATTTGGATGTATTTGTTGTTTTGTATTACCTATTTCTGGGCACTTGAATGGAGTTATTAGACTTTGTGTAGTTCTATCAGGCGTATGGTTTATGAATTTCTTGTCAGCAGAGTGGGGAGTTGTTTAACTAGATGGCTATTCATTGGCATGGGTTGCTAAGGAATCTACTTAATTTTAATCTGTTCTCTTACTCCTTTAATATTGTGCGGTATCGTCTTTCCAGTCTTGCTTTGGGTACAAGTCTGTGTCAGGCCAGCCTGTATGAGTTTACGATTGTGATAAAGAACCCATTGTAGGTCTGGTTTGTGAAAGATAGGTTTGAAATTGCGAACTCCAATGAATTGATACTGTTATTTCTAATCTGATAGGATTTGATTTGTTTTGGTAGTTGATGACGATGGCCTTAGCATCATGTTCTGTGTATTAGCACGAGATTGCTGATTGCTAATGTAGAGACTGGATGAGGAACATACTATTTTGCACTCTTTACTTTAGCCCGACATTTTGTTTATAAGAACAACGAAGCTTGAGATTGATGAAAATCGTTGCTTCCCTATGAATTTTGCTATTCTCTTTGTACTATATTCCTTTAGTATATGGTTTGGCAAACAATGAATTCTGAAATATTAGATGATAAGAGTGCCATAAAGCGTTTGCCTTGACAATGGTCATGAATTAAACGTGTGCGCAGGCTTAACTTGCATTTGCACCGAATACAATGCTATCCTAAATAGACAAGGATGACATCTCTCAATTTATGGTAGCAGTCTGATATTTTGGACATGGATTATGAATCCATTCTTTGCTTTCTATAGCCAATTATTTTGATTCTTCTGTTCTACAACCTTTCCTTTCTAATTATGCTGTAGCGTGCATAGTTTCACATTTGTGAGTTTGTTTGATACTTATTTGCTTTATATATTCTTACTAATTTAATGTGTTGCTTTTTACTCTATCCTCACCACTTTGGGTGGCGCTTGCTTTATCGAATCTTGGGTGATGCTTACTTTGTAGAATCTTATACGTTGTGTTTCTCAGATATCGGTACTTCATAAAAAAAAATTAACCATCCATTTTGTGCGGCAGATTAATGAATATGTTTCGAAACATAAGCCAGATTCACTTATTTCGAATTTCATCTTTATTTTTTCTGTCATTATGTACTGATGCCTGATTATTCTCAGCCCTTTTATCTTGTTATTCGGGTTCATTTGCGTTGAACTGAAAAACGTCTATATCATAGTAATCTTCTAAACCTGTGCAGATGTGTTATTTTTAATATTGAATTTAGTTTTATAGATTTGAATATATTTTGTGTATTGAGAGAACCCCTAAACAGAACAAATAAGTGGGTCTGTACTAATCACTGTCATTGGCTGTATTTCTGGTAAAATGTTGCTCCACTCGACATGTTGGTTGCGTACATCTGGTTGGTTGAACGTGATGTGGCGGAGCTTAACTGATTAAATAAAGTAAGAAACATTGGTCCCGTTTGAATCTTCAAACGTGGTTGGCATGGAAGAATTGAGAATGCGATTGCAGACTTGTGGTAGCAGAGGGGTATACGTGCACTATGAATGGGCCCTGCAATTTCTGACATCTGATGCCTGTACCTTTCACTCAGTTTCGTCTTAACTATTATAAGTTTCTTTTTACGTAATATTTTCAAGCTATTAATAGAATTAATCAGTATTGCCACGTTTTATGACGTTTGAGAGATGAAGTTATGTATGGTTGGCTCAATTATTGCAGTTGCTTTTTTTGTATATTTTAAAATTATGTACTCAGCATTGTGCCTGTGGGATTTAACTTTTTAAATTAAAATCCGTTATTTCAATATGTAAGTTATTTTTATGAGACAAAATGTAAATGTTGGAACTTTATGAAAATAATCATTATAAATATTTAATATTTGATAAGTGTAAATTTAATGAGAAAAATAGTATAATTAAGAAGGTTAATATATAGTATGTTTAAATAAATATTATTGAATGGTGAAAAATTAAATTCAGAAGACAAAAGACATAAGAGAAAAAATATAGATAATATTGAGTGGCTGATGTAGAGAAAGATAAGATCGGCGAGAGATTAAAAGAAAATAAATTGTTCAAAAGTAATTTGGAGAAGACGGAGATAAATACTGGGAGGAAAAAGAACATCTGAAAGTATAGGATTGAATTTTCACATTAAATTTGAAATGTTATAATTTTAAATCTAAATATAGATATTATTTCAATCTTTAGTTTTTAGTTGTTTTTTCACAAAAAGCTAAATATTTTTTACATATTTCATTTAAACAATATATTTTATGATGTTTTACCTTTTCCAAAATAAAGTTGTATACCTTATTAACCTTTTAAGCCCAATATCTTATAACTTAAATAAATATAAAGAATATTTTTCATTAGTGTTATTTATATCAAATTTATTATAATGTTCTTACTAATAACAAAAATTATTTATAGAAGGAAAAATTGTGATATAAGTGAGGAGTCTTTGTACTTTGAATGGTAGGGTTGTGTAAATTAAACTAAGAGTGCTTCTCCATGTATCTTATAGAGTTCTGCCTTTTCCTTTCTTTATATTTTTAATGTAAAATCTTTTGCTTTTAAAAAAGCTGATCCATTCAATAATAAAAATAAAGCATCAACCCTTCTTCCTCTGTCACATTTCATATTTGCAAACCTCTCATTTCCTTATATTTGTCGCATTTCGTATCTCAAACCCTCCTCCTTTCATTTTCCTCCTCTCTTATGGTGCTACTCTCCTTCTATCCCTACCTCATTTTTGACCATTTCTTTTTAAGGTCTTCTTGCAAAGTGCTCCTCCACTCCTCCCTCGTTTGGTGGCTGTGTCATGTTGATGTTTTGGTGACTGTAATAGCAGTGGTTCTTTTTCTCACACAATTGACATCAAGCTTTGCTTAGGCGTCCAAGTTTGTTATTGGTTGTGATTTCCTTAAGCTCATTGTATGATATGGTATATGATGCCTGATGAATGGTTGTAATGTGATAAAATGCTTCATCAGGGCTTATGCATGGTTGGATTTGCCCCGTAGGCGTTGGAAGTGCGGTTGAAGACCTTGTCGCACTTGGAAGTGTGGTCGAGAGGGCTGCCACAGTTGGAGATGCAGTTGATAGGAGTCGTACTTGGAAGTGTGGTTGACGCTCACCGTACTTAGAGCTTAGTTTGTGTTTGTCGTAGTTAGAATTGCGGTTTAGTTTTTTTTTATTGTTTTTTTTCTTATTATATTTAATTAAATTTTTATTTGATTTGTTTTAAATTTAGAATTTGTATTTGTAGATATTGCATATTATTTAGTATTTTTTATATTTATTTTTAATGTTAAATTTATTTAAAAAATATATGTATGAAATATTATGTTAGTATATTAAATTTATTTTTGTTAATATTATATATATATATATATATATATATATATATATATATTTGTTAATATTTTATATTTATATATTATGTATTTTTAATTTTTATGTATATAATAAATACAATATAACATCAAATATTATAAACTAAATACTAAATAAATAAAAAAGCTAATTTTAAATTAAATAAAACTTCATTAACACGTATTAAAAAAAATTCAAACTTCATAACAAATAAATTTTTTTTAATAACAACAAATTAACTACTAAATCATAAATAACAAAAATTATCAAAAACAAAATAATTAAAAAAACATGAATCGCCTAATAAATATTTACAATTTAATAAACAAATATAATATATATAAAAAACAGAGCATAATACATGGCATAATATATATTAAAAATAAATTAACCCATAAAATAACAAAAATTAAGAAAAGTAAAATATCATAAAACAAAGCATAATACATAAAATAACAAATATTAAAAAAATATCATACAATATAATACATAAATTACAAAATATTAAAAAAAATAAAGTGCGCACAGTACAACCGAAGTTGGAAGTGCGGTCCCCCTTAACCATAATTTGAAGTTCGGTTGGAGACTACCAAACTTTGAAGTGCGACGTTGTAGAACTGGCGTTCGGACTTTGGTGCACCCTTAACCGCAACTCCAACGCCACTTAAGGGTGTTTATGTATTATGTGAACTAGTGAACTAGCCTCGATGTGTTTACATATTAACTCATTAAATTTATTTTAACTTTAATAAATGAAGGGCAAATATGTAAAATGGGAGGTGCAGGGTGAGATAGGTGAGGCGTAGGGAGCAACACTCTTAAAAACTATACTAACTATAACTAATTATATTAAACTAAACTACTTAAGATAATAATTGTACTGTATGAGCAAATGGTCAACTATGTATGAGTGACCGGACAGTTAGCAAAGCCGATGGGTCGAACCGTTCGAGCACCAAAAAATTACCACTAACATTAATTAGCCTAAAACAAAGTGTGATTATCAACAATTGGGTGGTAATTAGGCTACCAATATAAAGCCTATTCCAAAAACTATAAATACAGTTTTTGAGATAAAGATGTAGGTGGTTGTATTTAATATGCATTAATTTTTTGACAAATCATTATTGACTTTGCTATATCTTGTATAAGTAACTTTTCAATTTGACCAAACGGACAACGACAAAGACCACATGTGACATAATAAACATTTGACATTGATACAAAATCAATACAATAAGTAAACAAAAGAAGAAGAAGACAACAAAATAAATCTAAACATTGTTTTCATTAAAGTAGAATTTAACAAATCCTTTACTTAGGAAGTGAAGACAATAAAATTTTGTATTATATCGTTTGTCATAAAGTTACATTTTATATGATTTGTTATTTTCAAAAACATTATTTTATAATGAAGGATCTCATATTTTACACATGACATACACTTGACTAAGATGATGGACTACTAAACTCTAGTTAATCTCTCCCTTTTCATGATACTTCTAGTAAGAAAGTTTATACATTAGGGTTTTTATAAAGAGATAAGGTTTTCACAAAATATTTAAGTACCAAAAAAACATGTAAAAATATAATGAAAAACATAAGTTTGATGGATTATCAAACTTTTCCGTAACACTAAATTTCACAAAATCTTTAATTGATATGAATACATTTTATAATATTTGAAAAGTTGAAAACAAATTTCTAGTGGAATAAAACTTTATAAGACAATTTGTCACATATTCAAAGCAAAACAAAAAGGACAAAGTCTTGAAGTGCTACCCCTAAGCCTGTCCATCTTCCCTTGTTAAAAGCTCCATTTTAAGTTATACTTTTCCAGTTTCTTCTTATTAAAAAAAAAACTTTGGGGTGTATTTAGTAATTATTAAAATAATTATAATTTATTATCTTACACACAATTATTAAAATAATTATAATTATAACAATTTATATTCTATATTTAATTCCATATCACAAATTAATAAATTTATATTAGATATTTTTTATTTTATTTATTGTTTATATTTTCCTCCTCCTTCTCTTGTTTTTTTAAATGATAAAAAAATAAAAAATCAGACTGAAATTTGGCTCTCCAATGATCATGAATTCTCACTAGTTTTCCTGCAACTATGCACAATATTCACAAGCCAAAAATCAACTCCTTGAAAACCAAATTCTGTCATGAATAGTAAAAGAATTTGTTTCTGTAGATAAAATATTTATTTTTATATGTTTTGAAAAAAATATATATTCTGGGAAATAAATTCTGCAACTAAGCTTTTATGTATTTAAAATAAAATAGTGACAATAGTAATTATTTGAATGATATATTTGAATTTTCTTTTAAAAACATAAATTCGGATGACTTAAATATTTACACAACTTTCATGAAGAATATTAATAAATAAAAATTTACCATGATTATAAAAAAACATTTCATAAAGAATATGAGTTGATTTTCATATTATATAAAATAATAAATAATTTAAATATAATGATTTAATTGGTTTATTCAATTGTGTTGTTTTCTTACAATAATAATAATCTTAATTACTTTAATTAAACATAATAATGTGTTTTTAATTAGTGTTATATATATATATATATATATATATATATATATATATATATAAATTAATTATAATTATCTGAATTTTTTATAATTATCATCTTAATTACTATTATTTAAGGAGTGATTCTTCCTATATCTCTTTATTTTCTATTTGCATCTCCAAAATTTTAATTATACGTTCTTTTATTAAAAATCAACTAACTTTCGAAAGTTAGTTAAGAGCTTTAGAAATTTCAAAAATCATTAAAACTTTAACCATTTCTTTAAAAGTAAACGAGATCTTAATCGTTTAAAAAAATGGTTAAGAAAAATTCTTTAGTCGTTTTTCAAAAACCAAAAACCAGGTTTCTTTTTTTCTTTTACTTTAGTTTATTACTTTTTTCCTTTTTATATTAATAATAATAATAATATTTATAAATATTTATTTTTTTTTTCATAAAATTTAATATAAATTAATATTTAAATTTATAAAATATAATTTATTAAATAATAGTAAAAATACATAATAAAAAAATTAAAAATAAAAAAATTTAAAAAATATGTTAAACTTGGAAAACCGTTTAAAGATATTTTTTAATGCATAAAAAATTAATACATGTTAACTGATTTTTCTTAACATATTTTTAAAATTTTTTGTTTTTAACTTTTTAAATATATTTTATTTGTTTTTATTTAATAAATAAAATTATTATTATTATTATTATTATTATTAATATAAAAAATTAAAAAGTGAACTAAAATAAAAATAAATTAAAAAATAATATGAAAGCTTAACTGAACGATTAAAAAATTTTTTTAATCAACTTTCAAAAACAGGTTAAGCTTTTTTTTAATTTATTTTTTTAATAATAATAATAATAATATTAATAATAATAATAATAATATTATTATTATTAATAATATAATAATA